CCTCTATGGTCAAATATAAATAAATAAATAAATAAATAAATAAATAAATAAATAAAGTTAAATAAAGTAATTATTTTTAAAAAGCTATTGTCTTCCAAAAGAAATTGAAAACCTGTAGAGTTATTTGGGATTTATTTGTAAAAAGAAAGTAGAACTCATTTTCTGAGTTTCCTCTCAGCTGTGTTTTTCAGGACCGAGTTTACATGTTTCAGATAACAATAACAATAAGTTAAATCAGGATGTCCCATTTTAAACTAGAGATGCCTGAATTCGACTTCTGATCTGCAGAGAACGAAAAAAATCAAGACGACTTTCCATGAAATAAGATGGTTTAGATTTAAAAGGAAAAGCTTCCGCTCCTCAAAACTGATGAAAACGGACATCATTCTGAATGTTAAAAAAAAAAAAAAAAAAAAAGCAAGCATGGGGTCATATAAAAATTCCACTTTGGGGACCAGCAGATGGTGTAATAATTATATTGCTGGACTCCCACATAGTTGGCTGCGGTTCGTGTCCCACCCAGACCCAGTGGCTTCAAACTCACTCCAGACGCACGTGCGTGCCTGCCCAAAATCCTGAGAGGAGAATGGAGGACTGCAGAGGGATTGCAGAGTGGCCATCCCCCCTCAGAGGGGATGGCCACTCTGAATTTCTCACTTTATATCTCTCTGTCTCCCTGGCAAGTGCATGTACCCTATAGCAAAAAATCTCTCTCTCTCTCTCAAAAAAAAAAAAAAAAATTTTTCCATATAGAATATTTATACAAATATTTTTCTTTTTTTCATATATTTTCAAGTCATGTGATTTAAGAGCGGTCTGTGATTCATGCTAGCTATTAAAACTATAAGGAGACTAAAACGATTGTCCAGGGTACTGATCAATACCTAGACATAGTCTTTGCTTGAAAGAAAGGGGGTTCATGGAGGATTTTCAGATAGAAAAGCTATATGGAGAGCTGCCAGCTGCTGGAAGAGAGGGGGTATATGCAGAAGGATGCTCTGATATATTCACAAGGATGATTGTGGGAGACCAAAACATGCCACCCTCAAATAGGCCTCTTTGGCAAAAGGATTATTGAGCTCAAAGGAACTAAAAAGAAGCAAGGAACCTCTGCCCTTTCTCTGTTTGCCTGACATCAGGACATCATTTACGAAGTCACAGGTATGCTCCCCGCACCCTTCTATCAGGGCGAGCAAAGTTTATCCACTGTAGACAACTCCAGACCCTCTCCTTGGCTAGAGATGGTACCAAGGCCTCTACATTAGCGAGCTTCGCTAACCAGCCTTCATCTGCCTTCCCACGCATTGCTGCTTTGAGAAACTCAAAGTCCTCTCCCTTTGTCCTGTCATTGGTCTAAGAAGTCACCCTTCTTTGTGGAAGATGTTACATAAGCTGGGCTTCTACTTCTTGGAGAATGACTCATTCCTGGGTGTCTCCCATGTGCATATGAAATAACCATGTTAATCCACTTCTGTTTTTCTCTTGTGACTCTTTGTTACAGAGGCTCATTCCAACTAAGAATTTACAAAGGCTGAAGAAAAAGATTAGTATTTCAGAGTAACCTGTTCAGGGTTTCTAGAGAGAATTGGGGAAGAGCTGCAGGAAAACGGGCAAAAGAAATATTTTCTAGATAAATTAAAAAAAAAAAATTACAGATTTCCTAAATCAGGAAAAGAAATGTGAACTTAATGAAGAAGAGTTATAGTTTTATTTTTTTAACAATTAAATTCAAAATTAGATGTGAAAATAGAGAAGGAACGCTTCTTAGATAAGCCAAATCTTTTCGATTCTAGGTACATGACTCATTTTACTTTAACAGTTTGGCCCTTCAAAGCACTGAAAGAACACAGGGAATGTTTTGTGGCTAAGCTCCAGAGCCATATTCACCACACCCTGTTCCATTTTGCAATCCCCAAATTTCCAACATTTAATCATTGTGTACTTCATGCTCTACATTTTCTCAAATTTAATGAACTAAAGACAAAAGTTTGTCTACATTATATGCTTAGAAATAAGAAGGAAGGGCTGGCGCCATGACCTGCTGGTTAAAGTGACCGGGTCCACATGGCTGGCAGTTTGAATCCTAGACCCAGAGGCTTGAAATATACTCTGGACATGTGTGCGTGCACACCCATAATCCTGATAGGAGAATGGAGGAGCAGGGATTGCAGTGTGGCCATTCCCCCTGGGGGTTGCTTTCTCACCCTTGCACCCCTCATCCCTGCTTTCTCTGGTGAGCACACATGCCTTCAGGCAAATTTTAAAAAAAGAAAAAAAGCACTTTTTTTTCATATAGTACTTTATGAGATAAAATTAATAATGTCCAACAGAAATGTTTATTTAATAAAGATAAAATTTTTAAAAATTCTAGGACTGTTCTTTGTCTCTTTTATGGGAAAAGAGCTGGACTTTAAGGTGGAATTTTCACAACTGAAACTTGCCCACCAGGTCTTCCTCTGCAGAGGAAGCAGGTATTCAGCCTATAACTTTGTAGGAATCTGAACAGTTCTCTGGTCCCAAAATGTCTTGCACAGCAATGTGGAAAACGTGCACTAGCTTGGTTAGAGCTTGACTGCTTTATTTTATAAATGGATTTACTTCTTCCTTCCATATGAGGGAGACAGGCACTCCCAGCTGGGTTTTCATGCCATGATCCACCCCAGTCTCAGCCAGCCCAGATCACAGGCACTCGTGCATGCCCAGAGTGTTCGGACCAGCCTTGGGACGTGAACCTAGAACTTGCCCAGGTGGGCCCAGTTGTGTTACCATTGCAACCACAGTCTGAACTTTTCTTAAAGTGAGGGATGGCAGTAAAACTTAGTCATCCAGACTGGTTTTGTTTTGTTTTGTTTTGTTTTTGTTTTTTTTTCTGGCAGGGGTGACTCAGGTAGCAAACAAGCAGTAAAAATTAGTCATCCAGACTGGGTTTTTTTTTTTTTTTTTTTTTTTCTGGCAATGGTGACTCAGGTAGCAAACACACCTGAGAGGAGAGTCAGGTAAAGTAGGAGTGAGGGGTTCAAGTGCAAGGTTGTGAAAAGGTGAATTTATTTTTTCAATCTTTGCTGATCCACCCATTGCTAGGATCATACACCAAGCTACCCAAACTATCTAGGAGGGGCAGTTTCAGGAGAAAGAACCAGAAGGACTCATCAGGTCAAACAGACGTGGGCACATGAGGGTAAGCGGATCCCACTTCACTCAAGCTCGCGGCTGCACCGGGAGGCCGTGAAATCCAAATCCTAAGCAGACCAGGAACCATAAAGATGCTGACAGTCACTGGGGGCAACGATCGCTTGGAGGGGCAGGAAAGCAATCCACGAATATTCCCATGAAATGCAATAACATCATTAGGTGAGCTAGCGTGCGTTCCGGCTGGCCCATCATTCACTCCCAGCTTCCTCATGAGCTTCGTTTTATTAGTTTTTTAATTAGAGACCAACTTGTAAACTCTTATTTGCTCCTCCTATAGAGAATTATATTAATAAAATGTTTAGTAAGAGATTCCGCCAAGTAAATAGGTGATTAAAAGTAGGTTTTGGGTTCTTATTTGAAGGTACAAGGCTGGAGAAGCCATGTATGGCTTCCCTAACCTGGAGGGTCCATGAAACTGAAGTCTCCACCAGTCACAGTGGGGTCAGAAGCTGGGAGGAGGTGATGTCATTACCTGGAGGTGGGCCCAGACCCAAACACCATGGTCGGAGTCACTGAGCTACAACAACAGCCCCATGTCCACCAGCTGGCCAGTAGACCCCACTGGATTCTCCGTCTTGAGACGTGCGTCTACGCAGACTTAAATGAGTAAAGTCATAGCAAGTGTGTGAGAAACGAATGGCAATCACTGCTAAGAATGCTAAGAAGCTGATGAGACAGAGAATCCCTTCTGAACGTCATTTCGTTTCCTGAAGTATAAGAAGGAAGGGAATTCTTTCGCATAGTTTGACTTTTAGGGAGGGGAAAGCAGAAATGGGGGAAGGTTTTTAAATTGTAGCACATAGCCGCCAGGTGGCATGGTGGTTGAGAGTGCCAGACTCTCACATGACAGACTGTGGTTTGAATCCCGGACTCGGCAGCTTGCTTTCTCACTTTCTCTCTCTCTATCTCACTCTGTCCCTTTCTGGTCAAATTAGAATCAATCGATAAATAGATAAAGCTAAATAAAATAAGTCCTTTAAAGGTTTTCAAAAAATAAATTGTAGCACATATACATTATACACCAAAGATAGGTAGTTAGCATTTGAATGGGTTTGTGAAGAACTTAGTTTAAGCTTATTGTGTTGAATGAACATCACAGTATTTGCCAGGCCATTTCTAAGTTGAGAGCTCAGTGTCTTCCTCTCAATGTACTGGATGTTAGTGCATGTCTATTTTCTCCCCCAATTCTTTGCCAAAGAAGGAGAGAAAGAGAGAGAATCCTAAATGGGGTGAGGTCATGCCCTAATTACTTTTCCTTCATTTCTCCATCTTGTCAGGATTTCAGGCACACATGCACAAAAATCCTACGCGTTTTTCAAGCCACTGAGCCAGAACTGTAACCCTGATTGGCCACGTGGGATCCAGCACCTGGTGCTCGGCACTTAACCACTGTGCAACAGAGTGGACCCTCGATCACTTTCACTGTCCTGCTTTCACAGTTTGGGATGTGTTGTTTGTTCGGAAAATTAGCATGTGCAGTACATCTTTAAGATTCTATCTCAATTTAATTATTAGCGTTTTACCTAAAACAGACCAAGGGGCCTGCCCTGTGCTAATCAGTGAGGGACGTGGGGATGAGGTCGCATGACAGTGATGTGTGGAACCAAGTTGCTACGGCTCCAGAGAGCTCATTATAGGCATCTCTTCCCAGCTCCACAACTTGAGATGGCATTTTGGTAGTTTAAAATCTCTGTGCTGAGAGTCCAGCAGATAGCGTTATGGTTACATCTCTGGACACCCACATAGTTGACTGCAGTTTGAGTCCCAGACCCAGTGACTTAAGAGTAGTGCCAGGTTCGTGTGCATGCATGCTCAAAATCCCAAAAGGAGAATGGAGGAGAAGGGATTGCAGCGTGGCCATCCTCTTTCTCTCTCTCTGTCTCTCTGGCGAGCACTCATGCCCAATAGCAAAAATCTCTCTTAAAAAAAATATCTTGCTGAGAATGTTTACACCATGGGAATTAAAAACCTCTATAAATCAGGGGCTCCCATGCCCCACAAGTTTGCTAAATATTTATCAGCACACCGCTGGGTAAGGGTGAGTGTGGGTGGGTTAGTAATATTCCCGGATTTCAGCAAACTATAGAGTTTAGTATGGCCGAGTGGCCAAGCAGCAGGTGAGGGATGAGGAGCAGCAGCACCAGGTATGCTGCGGGGTACACGCACAGCCGTCTTCCATTTTCATTAAGGTGCAGACAAGTGGAGTTATGCCCCAGACACTTGCTTATCATTGGATATCTGCTCAGCTAGTTACTGTAAAGGAGATGGAAGAAACAAAGCATGTTGTGTAAGGGTCAGAGGCTGGAACCCCATGCAGAAAGCGAATGCAAATCTGAGGCTTAAAAGAAAAGATCAGATCCAACCCTTTGACTGTGTGTGTTCCCCCAACCATTCAGCTGCAGTCTGATCTCTTCCACGAAGGATACACTCCCGGATGCTCGCAGCCTAAGGAAATTATAATCGGAAGCATGGCCCTTATGACCCATCAGAATGGTCCATGATCTGCGTTTACTTCCCTACTCACTCCTGAGCTCCCTCCTTTTGGGTCAGAAGAGTCCAAGAGAGCATCTACCATTACGCTGGGAGCAATTTCATGCTTTGTGGGGGTGCTTGCACTCCGACAAGCCCACTCAGACTGGCTTACCTTTAATATCCTGGTGACTTGAAAGCTGTTTGAGAACTAGAAGAAGACAAAGAAGAGAATGGTTTCAGTACAAATGTCCACTCTGTCCTGGCAGGGGCGAGAGGTTTTCATATGAAACTGAAAAATGGAGATTTACCTTCAGCTGTGAGGTTAAACTCAGCAGTGACTTTTCCGTAACTGTTCTTGATGCAGCAATAATAGAGGCCCTGGTCTTTCTGGCCGGCTTGAACGATGGCCAAAGAAACAGCTGAGTTGTCCCCTGCCCTGTAATGTGAGGCATTAACATGCTTCATCATTCTTTTTTTTTTGCTATAATATGCATGTACCCACCAGAAGGACAGAGAGACAGAGAGATAGAAAGCGAGAAATCATCCCCCAGGGGAGATGGCCATACCACAAAACCTCCATTCTTCTCCTGGGATCTTAGGCACTCATGCACACACACCCGGGGTGATTTTGAAGCCACCAGGTTCTGGACTCGAACCACAGTTGGCCATGTGGGAGTCCAGCGACATAACCATTATGCCATCTGCTGGTCTAAGTTGTCTTTTTTTCTCATATACCCAAGGAGAAAGATGCTAATGCTTCCCTGCTTTCAGCCAATAGGCTAGCTAAAAGACGAGATCACCATAAGCTGTTTAAATCATTTATTCATCCACAGGGTAGGATCATTACATTTAGGTTGAACACCCTCACTCCAATATGCAATCTGCATTCATAGAAACATCCCAGATATTTAACTTCTTAGCAGAGCAAGAGACAGAATTGTGAATTCCAAAAACCAACATTAACAATTCTTTTCAGAATTCACTTCAATTAGCAACCCAGGTGTTTTGTGCTTAAAGAAAATCTGGGAGCCAGCAGGTGGCATAATGGTTAAGGCACTGGACTCTCACACGGCCAACCATGGTTCGAGTCCCAGGTGCAGTAGCTTGAAACTCACAGTGGGCACATGTGTGTGTGTGCCCAAATTCCAAAAGAAAAATGGAGTAGAAGGGATTACAGAGTGGCCACCACCCCAACCCCTGGGGGTGATTTCTCATTTTCTCTCTCTGTCTCTCTCCAGCAAGAGCACACACCCTATAGCAAAAAAACTCTCTAAAAAATAAAATAAAAATTATCTAATAACTTGAAACCCAAACCTAAACACAGAGAAGATGAGAAATAAGAGAAAGGGGCTGTTTAAGGTAAGGATTCATGACAAAAAGCTCTTTTAAATAGTATACTCTTCTAGTGAATAGTATGCGTCCCTCCACTCATCCACCCCCCATTAGCGCCAGACACTGAGCATGAATACAAACACTGGTGGGGGTGATAGTGACGTCAGCTCGTGTGTACTGAGCACTTGGTATATAACAGGCATTATACTAAATAAATCACTAGAAGGTCTATTTCATGTCACTCAGAATAACCTAATGGGAGAGGCACAGTTTCTAATCCTTTTTCACAGAGGAGAAAACGGAGGCATAGTGAGACTTAAATGATCTTGGGACCAGCAAATGGCATAATGGTTACATTGCCAGACTTCCATGTAATCGACTGCAGTTCAGGTCCCGATCTGGTAGTTTGAAACTTGCTGGGTGCGTGTGTGCATGCCAAAAAATCCAAGAGGAGAATGGAGAAGAGACTGTGGCATGGCCATCCCCTCTGGGACCTGATTTCTCACTTTCTGTCTCTGTCTCTCTGGTGAGCACACATGCCCTATAGCAAAAATCTCTCTCTAAAAAAAATAATCTTGACCTTATTAAGCTACCTCCCCAAGTACACTATAGTTCCTGCCCTCAAGTCTGGGATCATTTAAATTGTGGATAGAATCACAATCTTTATTCCAAGGTCTTAAACCAAAAAAATGCAAAAACTGAAATTCAAATATTGTTCTATATAATGAGTTTCATTTAAACATTAGCCGAGATTATGTATGTGTACAGTGTACATTTCAATTTGGGTTCATCTTGTAGTTTTTTAACAGTAAACATCCACTTGTCTTGAGTTTGTCTTGGTTACATGTTTAACAAAAGTGTTCATTATTGGTTGGTTTTTCAACAGATGTCAAGTCTCCAATTTATACATGCCTCTTCTAGAATGTTCCAATGGCTTAAAACAAGAATTAAATCATAATACTTCCTTCTCTGATGGGGTCTACAAACATATACTACATGTATGGTCACTACTGGACTTGAGAGACCAACAGATGGCATAATGGTTACATCGCTAGACTCCCACGTAGTTGACCGTGGTTCGAGTTTTGGACCTGGTGGTTTAAAACTCACCCCAGGTGCATGTGTGCCCAAAATTCCAAGGGAAGAATAGAAGAGAAGGGATTGCAGCATGGCCATCCCCCCTAGGGGGTCATTTCTCACTTTCTGTCTCTATCTCTCCAGCGAGTACACAAGCCCCATAGTAAAAAGCTATCTAAAAAAAGAAAAAAAATATTGGACTTGAACAAATCCAGTTATTGGGTTATCTGGAAAGTCATGATGCATTGTTGCATAGAAAATCATAGAAAACTACGTCATGACCTTCCCAAAGACCTAATAAAATAATTTCCTGGCAGGGCAGTGAAATCCTGAGTGAGTCATAGAGGGGCTGGTGGAATGCCCTTCTCAGCCACTATGGATGAACACAATTGTTTCTACTATTGAAAGGGGCAGTCGAATTGTTCCCTGAACACAACCCTTTAGAATACTCTGATACTTAGCCCAGAAGCATGAAGACCATTTTCAGCTCATCAGCCCGCCCAAGGCTTTCTACTAGGAGGAATGAGTTAGGAGACAGAAAGGCCAGGCCTCTGATCCTGAGGCTGACCTCAGGCATGCTACTTGGCCTCTCACACTCAGTCTCTTCACCTGTGGAATTGGAGAGAGCAAGACCACAGCTTAGATGTGTGTGAGCAGGAACCGACACCAGGCATGTGAAGCTTCTGCAAAAAGCCTCGTCTCTTGAGCCATCACAAGCCATTAGTGGGGGGAGAAATATTAATGAACTTTCTCCATGAAGGGAAACCTCTTTAAGTGCCAAAAAGTTCTGCTCAATGTGTGATGAGTAATTTGCTTTGTGCTCAGTACTCGGGGACTCGATGATGTAAAGGAAGAGGGCACAGTTCATGTTCTGGAAGGTCTTCTAGTCTGGGAGGAAATGAACAAATGGAAAATACCAACAGAGCCGTGGAAAGTGAAAAGAAGTGATCTTGTACCTTTCTGAACCAAGAAGGAAAAGGCTCAGTTTCAGATTCTGTTACCTTCTAAGGGACAAATCTTTACCTTCAGGGGAAGGAAGGGCCAGATTGCAAGATTAAAAGAACAGGGCTCCACAGTAGTGGTGAATAGCTGCGGAGACAAATGCTAAGAAGCCTGTGCCCAGAATGTGATCTGAGTAAGAAGGCCATAGACAAAACTGGCTGGAGGGAGAGGGGACCTCACCTGGGGACCTCTCTAAGGGACACCACCATTCATCACCAGACCGAAAGAGCCTGGGAGCAATTGGCAGCACCCATTACACACCCACCAGCCTGAGCCGAGAAGTACCTGGGTTTCCTTCCTGTGGCCATCCAATGAGAACCTGCCTCAACAGCAGCCAGCTCATCACTCACTGGTTGCCCAACAGGGACCACGTGGCCTGGGCTCCAAGTGCTTGCTCAGCTGTCTGCGATCCACTCCCAGTGGATGGCTGCCATTCAACAGCCCAGAGAATTTGTACCTCTCCCCCAAGTGGAGAGCGGGTTTCTGGCTACAGAGAAGGTACTGATGGCAATGCAGCAATGGAGGGAGCTAGTTTGGGGTCGCCATGGGCCCAGACATACCACACATAGTCAAGAAACTACCACTTTCTTCTTCTTGGTCTCCTCAGAGTGTATTAGTCATGTCCTAGCCACAATAGTGTTTGACGCCTAATTTCTAAACTTTGGCTTGTTAAGGCAAATCTCCAAAACTTGCTGACAATGCCAGGAGGATGATTTCATGTCCTCTGCAGGTCACTGTTTAAGAGGGTCACCCAAGGATTGTTTAGCTCTAGGGGAATGTTCCTGTGTTTGACTTTGCTATATACTATTTAAGGGACCTTGCCCAGACATTTCTCTTTTTTAGGTTATTTTACTTCTTTTCAATAATTATTTATCATTATTATTATTTTTAAATATTTTATTATAGAGCACATGTACTCACCAGAGACAGACAGAGAGGCACAGAGAGAGAGGGGGAGAGGGAAAGTGAGAAAGCAAGTCACCACATCCAGGACTCAAACCATGGTCAACCATGTGGGAGTCCAGCATCTTAACCACCATGCCACCTGCCAGCCCCCCACCCAGACATTTCTTTTCTTTTTTTTTTTTTTTCCTGGAGATGGTTTTGCTATAGGGCACATGTGCTCGCCAGAAAGACAGAGAGATAGAGAGACAGAAAGCAAGAAATCACCCCCCAGGGGGGATGGCCACACCGCAATCCCTTCTCCTCCATTCTCTTCTCAGGATCCTAGGCAAGCATGCACACACGCCTGGTGTGAGTTCAAGCCACCAGGTCTGGGACTTGAACCGCAGTCAACTATATGGGAGTCCAGCCACATAGTCATTACACCAACTGCTGGTACCACACCCAGATATTTCTAAATTACACATTAACCTGTAGGTTTCTATACAGCAGAAAAGATAACCTTCAAGGTTCATTACCTGCTGAATATTAACTAGTTTTATCTATTGAAAATTTATTTCTGCCTTCCATTCCCTGATTAACCATACACGTCTCCACTCCCCAAATGCTCCCTTGAATAGCTTTCCCATCTTAGTGATTCTCTCACTGTTTAATGAGTCCAAGAGGACCGTGGCCGCATGCTTAGAGTACATTTGAGAGATTTTGGCTTTTGAAAAGGCATCAAGCTATTTCATGGAGGGATGTGTAAAAAGCAACACTCACCTGGAGGTAGGGGGGGAGGGAAATTAGCTAACATTTGAAACCCAAGTGAAATACAGTGAATGATCTCTCAGAATACAAAGAATTACAGCTTATAAATGTTCTTGAGTGTTAGTATGGAGAGGCCAAATGGTTCAACGAAGCCAGACACTGTTGCTAAGAAGAAATGAAGCAAATATTCTGGAGCGTTTAAAGGCTTTGGCCACGTGTCATTAGTAAAATAGAATGCCTACCGATGACTTGTGCTCCCTAGAGGGAGATTAGGGTTTTGTAAATACACCTTTGGAAAACGGACCTGGGAGAGTCAAGTGCCAATTCTGAGCTTAGAGCCAGGCTGCTTGATTGAAAAGTTCTCGAAGTGCTAGTTAATTGTTCTTGGCTGACCACTTCAGAAAATCATTGAAATGAATAATTGATATTTTTAAAGTAATGCTCTAAGAAACCTCAAATCAAACCGTTTTTTCCACATTATAATTCTTCTTAAGCCATACCTAAGACAAGCAGGGTAACGGTGACACTTTAGACAAAATGGCTTTATTATACCAATCACGATTGAGTGAGATTTTCCGGAGTGATATTAATAGAAGTGAAACAATAGCCCAAGTGTTCTATGGTGGCATGTGGGGAAGAATTTTCAGACATATATTCCAGGCAGACATATTTGAGTTAATTAACTCTCAGATTTTCTCACTTGTTTTAGTCTACTCGTAACAAGATTAAAAGAACAGCAGCAACTCCTATGACTCAGAGACCTGAACTGGGACCTCCTTTTGCCAGAAAGAAGGTTCTGAAAGGTTGTTCGACATATGTTGATGTCTATCAGACCAAGGTGATTTGTTTCTAGAATGTGTCAGGTGGAGCTTAAGTTCATCAGTTCACTTGCAAAAGCCTTAGTTTCAGAGAAGGCACTTTAGGAAACCATTAATCAGGTTTGATCCATAAGGGACATTCTTGCAAGGATTCCGTCTCTTATTTCTCTCCTCATTCTTCTCTCCTCTCCTCTCCTACAGATCCAGAATAGACTGCTTTTTCCATTTCAGTGATGGCTTCTTATCACCCTGTCTTAGTTCATTATAGTATTATTTACAAAAATATCTGAAACAGGGTAATTTATATAGAATTCTGACAGTTCTGGCGGCTGGAAAGTCCAGAGGCATGAGGCTGGCATCAAGCTGTCTACGTCACAACATGGCCAACAGATGCAAAGATGAAGGACAATGAGGGGACCAGCAGTTGGCATAATGGCTATGTCGCTGGGCTCCCATGTAGTTGACTGCGGTTCGAGTCCTGGACCCAGTGGCTTAAATTCATGCTGGGTGCATGTGCATGCATGCCCAAGATCTCAAGAGGAGAATGGAGGAGAAGGAATTGTGACATGGCCATCCCCCCAAGGGTGTGTGTGGGGGGGTGATTTCTTGCTGTCTCTCTGTCTCTTTCTGGTGAGCACCCTATAGCAAAAGCCTCTCAAAAAATAAATAAATAAATAAATAAAGGACGATGGTGGGAGTGACCATGGTCCGTGCTGCAGGTAAGTTCCCATCTGCCTTATTTCCTGCCCTTGTAAACCCGCCAGGACTCAATCATGTGGGCCCCACCCTAACCATATAATTCACCAATCTCTTCCCCAAGGTCCCCACAACACTATAATCCAATTAAGTTTTCACCTTCTTAATCCCATGACAATGGCTCCACATATTTTGGGAGACATACTCAAACTACAAACCTCTTAATGGTTATGGGGGGGCTGGTCTTCAAAAAGTTCGTGGAAACTATATTGTGAAAAAATAAAAAAGAACTATGTATAGGTTTCAAAATACTTTTCGCACTAAAATAAACTCTTACTTTAATTCCTTTCCTCCAGAAGCCTTTTGGAATCCCCTCACATTTTTCTCTAACTTCAGGGATTGCTTTTTTTTCTTTTGCTTCACCTTCTTAGCTTTGTCAGATGAACGGGAATGTTTAAAACAGAAAACATGCACAAGCGAAGTGCACACACATACAAAAGACAGTTCTTTAACCTTGAGACCACAAAACCTCAGACCCGAAGGGTATTTGATCTCTTCCCCTGACTGTACAATGTGATGAAAGGTCCATGACGCCCTAAGTCCACAAGAACCCGGCTCACTTCCCCGTCCGGACGTCTGTCTTCTTCGTTGACTTTGTTGGATTCTATGCATGTGGACTTTGTCTCAAATTTCCTTTTCACTCCCTGTCATTTAGTACGTTCTTGTACAATTACACTGAGATGTAAACAATTATGAAAAGTAACCAAGTTACGTACCTTCTGTGTACCTGGGCTATTGACTTGGAATCTTTTGTCCACCAAATAGTAGAGTCTTCATGAATTTCCGCAAACTGGCAGCTTAAGTTGACATTTCCAGAGTGATCAGGGAACATCTCAGCATGGATCTTTTTCAGTAAAATTGGAGCTAGGAAAAAGAGATTGGAAGGTCAGCGTGGACAAAAGAGTTTCCTTTTCATCTCACTTACTTCTTGCAACAATCCCAGGAGACAGGGTGATCATTATTATCTTTGATTTATAGATGAAGAAACTGAGTGTCTGTGAGGAGCCGTAGACATATACACCAATCAATCTCACGGCAAACTCCTGCTTTTCGTTACTTAACATTTATAGGATGAGGTCTGTGTGTTCAAAGTGAAACAGACATTGAGAGATTTTTAAAAAGGGCTGGCCCCGTACTGCAGTGGTTAAGCGCTGTGTGGAGGGAGACAGACACCATTTGGTGACCAGTTCGAATCCCAGTCCCAGCGGCTTGAGAAACACTCTGGGTGTGTGTGAACGTGCCCAAAATCCTGATGGGAGGGAGAAATGGAAAAAAGGACTGCCATGTGAGCATGCCCCACTGGAGGGTTTTCTCTCTCACACATGTGCATGTACACATGCCCTCTGGCAATTAGAAAAGAAATAAATTATTTATAATAAATGAGAGGGTAGGGATGGGTAATTATAGAAAACTGGTTGATAAAAATCTGAGCTAACTAAAGAATTTTTCAAATAATTACCAGATGATCCAGGGTCAAATCAGAGCTGAAGATTAGGGAGCAAGAATGAAACCTGGATTACCAGGTGACTGTGGTTCAAGTCCCGAGACGTACAAGGCAACTCGGCAAGTGATCTGCTGAATAATATTCACCCAGCTTTCCCCTGGATCACAACTGTCATTGCTGAAGATAGCCTAGTGGATTGGAGTGATGTCTGATATCAATCTTATCAGCAAAACAGAGGTGACTACTTGAATAAAGTCGAAGCAATAAGGAAACAATCTCCAGACTGAGACGGCGACCCGTCACACACCAGGCAAGTGTGTAGTTAGTCAGGGCAGCCACTGGGTGGCAGCGTAGACATTAGAATGAGACGTAGCTGGACAGCTCTGCCATGGGGTTACAGTGAGATTACTGGAAACGGGGCGTCAGTCTATCACAAACTGAGCACATAACTGCACAGCTTCGCCAACACGAGAGAGCACATCATTACACAACACTGTGTAAGCCACAGCCGAGCCCAGAGTCAGTACTGAGGCTTTGTTGCCTCCGTTGTCTCAAATTCCACTACAGTGAAACAGGCTATGAGTGAAATGTATTTCCCATCTCTGCTTGGCTGACACTTGGATGAGAAAATACATATTTATATAATGTTTACCATAGGGTGTATATGTCTACCAGAGAGAGTGAGAAGGAAAGAGAAAGTGAGAAATCACCCTTCTGGGGGGATGGCCATGCTGCCATCCCTCCTCCATTCTCGTCTCAGGATTTGGGGCACGCATGTGTGCCTGGCATGATTTTCAAGCTGCCGGGTCCACAACTCGAACCGTGCAGTTGGTCATGTAGGATCTGGCACCTTAATCTCCATGTCACCTGCTGGCCCCAGAATGTATACGTAAAAGCTAACTTTCTGCCCAGAAAGACATGATGGACTGGTTAGAAAACAAATCCTTCAACCCAAGAGCAGTTGAGACTATGACCACAATTAAGGGAGCCGGGTACATAACTGAGGGAGACCAAACACACCAAGCACCTCTTGCTGGCAAACCCCATTTCAGCTCATTTGGCCCCACTGGCTCCTGCCGAGGCTGAGCCCATGTGCAGGGGCACCGTCCCAAGCTCGTGGGCCAGGTCTTGACCAAGCCTACCTCATCACCTGGGCCATTCCGCCAGGCCCTTCGCACACTACGTGATAGTGGTCTACATGGGTGATCTGGGACACCTGAATGGTCCTAAGGCTGCCAGAGCCTGTTGTATTGAACACAAAGAAAACTGAGAGGCAGAGGGAAGGACATAAGATGAACAGAACTAAATGATGGTCTTAGGAAGTATGAAACTAACCAAAGAGCCTTGGGGTTTGGAAAAGAGGAAGGCAAACTTGTCTTTCTTTCGGCAATAGGGACTAAAGCCCCATTTGATGTGGCCGAAAATAGCCAACATCAGCCTCGGGTCCTCCCTTTGGGTCAAATAGGGCCATTGCTTTCTGCTCTAGCACATGCAGGCCACCGTAGCTTTCTGGAACATTTTCTCTTCTGACTTCTACCACACGTGAGGAATGAAAAAAAAGCTAAAATCGGACCTATGGAATTGAATTCGGAGCTGAAATGATTCCCTAGGCAAAGTAACGACAATTAGGTGGGGTCTTCAAAAATTAATGGAAATGTATATTAGGAAGAAACTGTGCACAGATTTTAAAATATTTTGTGCTCAAATAAACTTACACTTTAATTCCATTTTCCATAAACTGTTCAGAGTCCCCTTGTGCAAGGGCTTTTAAGGCTTAGGTGGTCTGAAACATAAAACAGAGGACCCAGATAATTTTAGAATCCGATTTTTCAAAAGAAGGGGCAGAGGAAAGACATTTTATACTCAAATTTAGAAGAGATGAACATTTTAAATTTTGTTGTTATTTTTAAAATTTGCCAGAGAGAGATAAAGAGAGGGAAAGCAAGAAATCACCCCCCCCCCTTTCCCCATGAGTCATGACCATGCCTCAATTCCTTCTCCACTGGTCTTTGTTTCAGTATGTTGGGCATGCACACATATACACCCAGTGTTTTTCTTTTATTCTTTAGAGAGATTTTAGCTATCGGGCACATGCACCTGCCAGACAGACAGAAGGAGAGAAACCCCCTGGGGAGCAGGGTATGGCCATGCTGCAGTCTCTTCTCCTCCATCCTCCTCTCAGGATATTGGGCATGCGCTCAGAGTGAGTTTTAAGCTGCTGGGTTTGGGACTCGAACTATGGTCGACAATGTGGGAGTCCAGTATTGTAACCATTATGCCATCTGCTGGTCCCTCCCCCAATGTGTTTTTCAAACCACTGGGTCCAGGACGTAAACTGCGTAATTGACCCTGCACAATTGGCCATGTGGGTTCCACCCACTTTAACTGCCACAGAATGGGCTGGCCCAACGGAGCCATTTCTAATGAAAAATTAATGATTAAAAAGAATCTCAAAGTGTACCAAAATATTTCTTTTCAGCAATCCTGCTCAGTGGGTGGTCTGTTTAATTATACTAATTATCTATACTAATTAGTGCTTTTGTTTATCTTTTATAAAATCGATTTTAGGAAAAAGAATAATTAAACAGAAAGGCACCTTAATTGCATTCCGTCAATGAAACATACCCACAGATAACCTTTCTCAGAGCCTCTCAAGTGAGTGTCTTCCCAGGTCACCCGGAACTGTTAGAAAGGCCCCAGCACACACACACCTGAACCAGAAGCTCTAGGAGGGGGCCCAGCGATCTGTGCTCTAACAGGTCCTCACAGTGATCCTGATGTCTGTGAACCCAAAACCCTGAGCCCATCTGCCCAAGCCTCGGGCCTCAACCATAACATCAGTGCCTCCTGCTGGACACTCACCTTCATTGCAAAGGATTGAAGGGGATCTGGCAACCTGACACCTGGTCAGGACAAACCCAAGGCCTACCGAGGAATGCAAAGCAACACAGCCTCACCTTTTCCTTCTCTTTTGCAAGGTGACTTTTTGGGGTCTTTTTTCTCATCTGTGTGTGATAGCGATGTTTCCAGTTTAGGGATCTTTTTAAGAAAGACCGAGTTCTTTTTGACATTTTCCTTCTCTTCCAATCTCAGTCTCAGGGCTGCTACCTTGGACAGAATTTTCTTCTTTACTCCCTCAGCTAAATGCCCACTTCCTGAGGTTTCTTGCTTCCTCTTGGCCTCCTCTGAACCTGTCACTCCTGGCATGGCCCCTGGCGATTTGCCAGTTTGAGCTGCCATGTGACAGGATTTCTTCTCCCTTGACTTTTTCACACAGCCCAGGGTGAAGCCCTTTTGCCCTGGGTCCTGCAGTAGTTTCGGGGCTTTCTCTGACTCATATTCTCCTGAAACAGAGGTCAAAGTCATGGCTGGCATACCAGATGGGCCTGGGGGTTTGGTTTCCTCAGTTTGAGACGCCTCTGTTTTAGGTTCCTCAATCGGATGGCTTACTGGAAAGCCAGCGATGTTTCCTGCAGGATACGAGGTAAACGGCGGCCTCGTAAGATCACTGAACGTAGATGACCGTTTCCCACGCTCATTGTCACTAGTTCCTCTTTCCTGAGGGTCAGAAAGCACGAACTGATCGTTTCTGGGCTCGACCATGGCCTTGGCAGGGATGTCAGGAGTCTGGCCTGTGTTGCTGTGCCTGTCGACCCCGACGGAGGCGTGCACCAGCACTGCATGGCAACTGGGAAGAGGGGAGCTGGGCGAACCAAGTTCTGCTTGGTCCTCTTTGCATGGTGTGGCCACCCCTGAGCTTCTGTCACTACCTTCTTGTGTTCGGCTAATGCCATGTCCACCTGGAATTCTTTCTCCACTGCCATCAGGGCACGGAGCATGCCAGGCAGCAGATCTGACGTCCACGCAGGCTTCGTCAGGCTGACTTAGCTTGGCCTCCCCACTCTCGTCTTCTTGGTTTCTGTTGATTCTGTTCTCACTTAGAATCGCTTCCCCACTTCCCTGAGGACATGGAACTTGCAAAATGGCAGGATGGACTTCCACACTCCGACCTAAGTTCCCAGCAGCTGATGTCCCCCCCTCTCTGCTGAGCCCCAGCGTGGATCCTGAAGGCTCAGCTTTCTCGACCCATGCATGCTCCATCATGCCTGTCTCATCAACTGGATCTACGGAGGACTCTAGGAGTTTGGGGCAGGCCAGAAACCGCTTAGAGAAGACAGGGTGGTGCGCCCTGAGGTGGTTTTCCTCCTGGTCTTGACTCGCAGTCTCCTTCCCTCCCACTTCAGAAGCCTCCCAGCATGAATGTGCGGCATATAATTCCTTCCCATCTACAGGGTCCACAGAGGACTCCAGGAATCCAGACTGGCTCGAAGGCTGGGAGCAAAATCCATACCAAGGTGCGCTTCTGTCTGGGCCTCCACCTTCACGCATTCCTTTGTCATCAGCCAGGGCTAAGTCGGACTCATCGTGAGGCCCGTGAGCTGATGGCGCTTTTGCAAAGGGCTCCAGTTCGGAGGCAGCGGCCTTCAGAATGGTAGACACAGCCCAGGCCTGGTTAGGAGCCAGAATGCCAGCTTCTGATCCCTTGTACTCAGAATTTGCCTGTTGTCCTGGTGGCCAGAGTTCTGGACTGGAAGCCTCTAGAGTTATGATCTTCAGCTTCTTGCCTACTTCCCAGTTTCCTGCTGTAGTCTCTTGGGACTCCTCCAAGAGGCTCTTAGACAGAGAGGGAATACTACTCAGAGCCTGACTGTCCTCTTGCACAGTGGCATCAGCCACCAGGGAGACACTGGTCCTCGGGCCTGCGTTCTGCCCTCGCTCTTCCCTAGAGTTTGACGGTGAGTGATCTGAGGGCACCAGGCTCATGTCCTCTTGTCCGGCAGATGTGGGGGGCAACCTTCCCTGGACATCGGCTGCAGAAGGAGAACCATGCTGGCACAAGCTCCTCTGCCAGCCCGTCTGCTGTGTTTCATTTCCTTTTTCTTGGGAGCCCTGTCCAAGGCTCTTGTCTGCCCTGTCCGTGACCAGGCTCTTATCTGCAGACTGATTATCGATCTGAAGAGAGAAATCTCCACAAAGACCCTCTTCCTCTGGGAGCTGGGGAACATGGCTGTCGATTCCTGGTACTCTGGGCACCATGCAAAGCCTCTCTTCAGCACCACTTAAAACGTACCCCAACTGTATGTCAGAAGGAAGTCGGGGAATATTTTCATCTGGAGTCTGAGGTGAGTGCTCCTCATCTTCTTGGTCATTCTCAGCAACTGAGGCGGCACGGTGTTTGACTGCATGGGCCTTGGAGGCAGCAGTAATTGTTGATGTGTCCTCTGTCTCGCTGGTCACCTGAAGACACTCTGTAGTAGCCGCTGCTGCTGTTGGCTTCTCCTGAGGAAGCTTCGTGATTGAACCATGACTGGCTGAAGTGTCCGGGGTAACTGGGGTTTCTGGGGCACTGGTCCTGGGGCTCTCATCACTTCCTTCTTTAAATTGCTCAGAGGAGTCCCTCTCTGAAGAAAGGAGTAGCGTTTCCTCCAGCCCTTCTGAGTGGCTGGGACTCAGCCTGGCCTGGCCAGCCTGCACTGTGGAGGCCAACGTGCAGGTGGAATTCCCTACCTCGGCTGGATCTCCTCCTGCAGTAACTCCACTGGGCTTGTGTGAAATATTCCAGCTGAAAGTATTTATAAAAAGAGGGGATATGGCTGAGTTTCTACCCTCACTGCTCTTGCACGACTGTGGAATCTCAGAACCTTGTGTTCGAGAAAGAACGTCCAGTGTCTTGTCAGCAGGAGGACATAAATCAGTCACTCTGTCTTGACCCACCAGCTCCATGTCCGTGGAGCAAAATTCTTGAGACAAATATTTACCAACCGGCACGACAACAGGAGACTCCATGGCTTCACAACATGTTCCTTGGTCCAGGTACCGCAGCACACACGCGGCTTCTCTGTCCTTTGGCCCATTGCATGCGTTTCCCAGGGGGAGGGCAGTGTCTGTGGGGTCAGGGCAGGCAACAGAGAGAGCCTCGGGCTCCCTGTGGTCAGCACGGGTCTCCTGGAGGGTATGTACCGAGAGCTCTTCTGAGAACACGTTGTCATCGGTGGTTTCTGGGACAGGTTCTAGGGCTTCCCAGCGACAGCCAAGGGTGCTGCTTTCTCTGTCTTCTTCTTCACGTGGTGGGTCTTGAGTGCCACTTTCTACCTCCAGGTGTTGGGCCAGTATGCTTGCCTCCTGGATCCCTGCTACCCTAGGGGACGAATTCGTCGTGGTCCCAGGGAACGGCGCCTCCTTTCCAGCAGGCTCTGAGAAAGCTGGCGTCTGGCTGCGAGAGATTCGCTCCCTGGTTGTTTCTTGAATTTGCACCTAGGAGGATGAAAAGTGATATTAATAGAATTGTTCCTGGGAGAGCCCCCAGTTGGGCCTAACTATAATCTCAAGCGTGTTAATCCTCGATGACTGTAATAATGGACAAGAAGAGTAGAGGAATGGCTGAAATTCAAACATGAATCCCCACACTCTCTCTAGCTACTAGAGACTTCCTGGAGAACCAGAAACTTAAGCGACCCTATGTTCCAAGGGACGCTTAGTCAAATTCACCTTTAGAAGCAAAAGGCCTCCGAATAATCAGCAATTATTCAATGCTTTTTTCCCCTTTTCTCTCTTAGAGAGAAAGAAAGATGAATATGAATTGAATGTTAACTATTTTGATCTAGTAATTCATGATAGGTGCCGTGTGCATGTTTCCAGAAAGATAAGTTTCACATGAGTATAAAAATAAAATACACAGCACATGCAAAATAGTGTTAAAATAAAAATTTTAGGCAAACTTAATTTAGCAGAATTGAATTGAGCAAAAAAACAATTCACGAATCGAGCAGCCCCCAGAATGGCTTCTGAAGAACTCTGAAGTACTGCGTGGCCCAATAACTTTTACGAGCAGGAAAAGGAATGTGATTTAAGACGACAGAAGTGTGGGAAATGAGGCACAGAAGGAGCTGGCTTGGTTGCATTTTAGTGTCAGGCTCTACGAACACGGTTTAAAGAGCAGGCTGCCTGATCGAAGCCAGGCTGCTGTGATTGGCTGATTCACCAGTTTGTTAAGGGAGCAGACTCCCAAGTGAGGTTGTGGTTTGTTTATAAGAACTCAAATATGGGGAACCAACTATGGCATTATGATTACATTGCTGGATTCCCATGTAATCAACTGAGGTTCAAGTCTCGGGACCGGTGGCTTAAAACACACTGGGCGCATGGGCATGGGTGCACAAAATCCTGAGAGGAGAAGGGAGGAGAAGGGATCGTGGCATAGCCATCTCCCCGAGGGGGTGATCTCTCACTTTTCCTCTCTCTCTAGGCTTTCTGTGATTGGCTGAAGCAGGGCTGCTCCTTTCTGTTTCTCTCTGGTGAGCACACACTCCCTATAGCAAAAACAAAAACAAAAAAAGGTGGCAAAAAATCCTTTGAAAAAGATAAGCCAAAAATAAAATTAAAAATAAGTAAAACTCCTAGATTGCCTTTTAGACTTTAAAACAGATGCACTGTGGCAGGCTAGGCAACTCCACAAGAAGCAGACAATTCAAGGCTGCTTAGGATTTTATGAAAAGCGGGAGGAGAGAGGAAAAAAGGAAGGGAAGGGAGGAGGGGAAATGAGTGCTCCCATTCTGAGACCTGAACCCATCATGGTGCCACCTGTCTGCCATGTGATACTGGATAGTCTTCCGGAAGTGGCCCACTCTTCCAGTAATGTCTTGTAATAACTTGTAGCACATCGGTTATTTCAAAACAAAACAAAATCATGTGTAGCCATGGGGAAAGGAACTGCTCATTTTTGACAAGCAACTCCGTCTTTGCACCCAGGACTTCTGCTTTGGGGCAGCCCTGCCCAGGGAGCAGACACTGGCTTAGAGGGGGAGGAGACGGAGACTCTCACCTACCATAACGAGAGAGAGCTGGGATGTCCATGTGCCTGGGCGGGCCTCAGCCCTAGGGCTTGTTTGTAAATCACACACGACAATGGCTCTTCCTACCTCCCGGTCAGTGCTGCCCACACTGCCAGAGCGGAAATGGTACCTCTTTCCACACTCCCCCGGGCCACTTGCTGCTCCTCTGTCCTTCATTCCTCATTTCTCTTCTAAAGTGACCTTGAGGTTCATTTAACTCAGATTTTATGTGCATAAAAATGCTCGCTAAACAAAAAGAACTTTAGTATAAATGCCATGAAGGTCAAGACCATTTTTCCATTCAACATACGCTTATCGAATGCCTCCAGTATACCAGGGAGTGTTCCAGGTAAGGATACAAGATAGGCAAATGCCCGTCTGCTGGAGACTCCCATTCTGTGTTGTCTTCAAAGCCTGTCATAGCAATGAGCACATAGTAGGTTATTTTTTTATTTAAAGAATTTTTTTAAAATTTTAACTTTATTTATTTCCATTTGTACCAGAGAGGGACAGAGCGAGAGAGAGATTGAGAGGGAAAGTGAGAAAGCAAGATGCCCAGTCTGGGACTTGAACCACAGTGGGCCATATGGGAGTCCAGTGCCCCTAGCCACCATGCCAGCTTCCGGCCTCCATAGTGGGTGTGTAATAAATATTTGTTGAAAGACCGAATAAATGAATAAACTGTATATTAGTTGAGGTAGGTCTACTAACTTCACACAGTACACTTCTATCTTTGAAGTCATTTGGACTTTCATCTGCTCCTGACTTTGAGACAACCCTATTTCAAAGGAGACTTGTAATCATAAGCCCTTCTTATTCACATCACAGTGTCTCTAAAGAGAAATAAATATCTACCTTCTCTCATATCTCCTTCTCTTTATCATCATGTTAAAATGGAAAAGGGAAAACAAGAAGATAATTTCTGAGAAATAAGAATTTTTTTTAAAAAGAACCATTTATTTCATTTTATTTATCATTATTATAATTATTATTATTTTAATTTGACATAGGGCACAGGTGCTCACCAGAGAGAGACAGAAAGAGAAAACGAGAAAGCAAGACACCTGGTCTGGGACTTGAACTACAGTCAGCCATGTGGGAGTCCAGCACCTTAACCACTATGCTGCCTGCTGACCCAATAAGATCTTTTTTTTTCTTTTTTTAGTATCCAAGGTTTTAAGTGAGTGTGGTCCCTTCTCTGTACTGGAACATCTATAAGACGTGAAGAAAGTATTCTCTTCGTTTGCTATTTTGGTTCAGATGTTTTATGATGAGCTCTAACCCAAACATACCAAATTATTAAGCACAGAAAGTATGGGTAGCTGCCTGGGCAGGAACTGAGATGTGTAAAAAGGCTGTCCAATCATAACGCCCCTCCCTCCGGCTGTCCCACCTGCCTGAGTCTCCACCATCAATGTCAGCCCTGTATTTTAAGGTCTTGCTGTCATCACAGGACCGCTGGTGCCAACAGACATTTATGGAGTAGCTGCCATGTGTGGAATTCCCAAGCCCTGGGAAATGTTTTCCAGTGGATTCCAGTTCAAAGGCTCCCCACTCTGATATGTGCTGGGATGGCACCTTCATCCCTGCCTGCCCGTTACCGACTACGAGCATATCCACAGAGGCTAACACCTGGAAGGGGCTAACGTCCGGAGTACAGGAAACTCGGGACAAGGAAGTTTTGACTAGGATGAGGTTGGTCATTGGAAGACATCATCACAGCACGAGAAGAACGTGTAAAATGCATGGAAAATGCAATTAAAGTAGGAGTTTGGGTGTGAAAAATGTTAAAGTCAATGCGTAACTTTTTCATAATATACATTTTCCATGAACTTTTTAAAGACCCTCTCCACCACACCCCTCTGCATACCTTACTTCACAAAACACTTAAGCTCTCTTTTTCTTTTGGCCATAAGAGGGACAGAGCGAGAGAGAGATTGAGAGGGAAAGTGAGAAAGCAAGATGCCCAGTCTGGGACTTGAACCACAGTGGGCCATATGGGAGTCCAGTGCCCCTAGCCACCATGCCAGCTTCCGGCCTCCATAGTGGGTGTGTAATAAATATTTGTTGAAAGACCGAATAAATGAATAAACTGTATATTAGTTGAGGTAGGTCTACTAACTTCACACAGTACACCTCTATCTTTGAAGTCATTTGGACTTTCATCTGCTCCTGACTTTGAGACAACCCTATTTCAAAGGAGACTTGTAATCATAAGCCCTTCTTATTCACATCACAGTGTCTCTAAAGAGAAATAAATATCTACCTTCTCTCATATCTCCTTCTCTTTATCATCATGTTAAAATGGAAAAGGGAAAACAAGAAGATAATTTCTGAGAAATAAGAATTTTTTTTAAAAAGAACCATTTATTTCATTTTATTTATCATTATTATAATTATTATTATTTTAATTTGACATAGGGCACAGGTGCTCACCAGAGAGAGACAGAAAGAGAAAACGAGAAAGCAAGACACCTGGTCTGGGACTTGAACTACAGTCAGCCATGTGGGAGTCCAGCACCTTAACCACTATGCTGCCTGCTGACCCAATAAGATCTTTTTTTTTCTTTTTTTAGTATCCAAGGTTTTAAGTGAGTGTGGTCCCTTCTCTGTACTGGAACATCTATAAGACGTGAAGAAAGTATTCTCTTCGTTTGCTATTTTGGTTCAGATGTTTTATGATGAGCTCTAACCCAAACATACCAAATTATTAAGCACAGAAAGTATGGGTAGCTGCCTGGTCAGGAACTGAGATGTGTAAAAAGGCTGTCCAATCATAACACCCCTCCCTCCGGCTGTCCCACCTGCCTGAGTCTCCACCATCAATGTCAGCCCTGTATTTTAAGGTCTTGCTGTCATCACAGGACCGCTGGTGCCAACAGACATTTATGGAGTAGCTGCCATGTGTGGAATTCCCAAGCCCTGGGAAATGTTTTCCAGTGGATTCCAGTTCAAAGGCTCCCCACTCTGATATGTGCTGGGATGGCACCTTCATCCCTGCCTGCCCGTTACCGACTACGAGCATATCCACAGAGGCTAACACCTGGAAGGGGCTAACGTCCGGAGTACAGGAAACTCGGGACAAGGAAGTTTTGACTAGGATGAGGTTGGTCATTGGAAGACATCATCACAGCACGAGAAGAACGTGTAAAATGCATGGAAAATGCAATTAAAGTAGGAGTTTGGGTGTGAAAAATGTTAAAGTCAATGCGTAACTTTTTCATAATATACATTTTCCATGAACTTTTTAAAGACCCTCTCCACCACACCCCTCTGCATACCTTACTTCACAAAACACTTAAGCTCTCTTTTTCTTTTGGCCATAGTGCACATACACTCGCCAGAGAGAGACAGACTGACAGTGAGAGGGAAAGTGAGAAATCACCAGCTGGGGGAGGAGCGGGTGGGGGGAGGTGAACATGA